AACGCAAATCAAGACGAACACGTTTAGTTCTCTTCTGTTACGAAACACAAACACCTGAGGGCCTTTACTATTCACAGGCCCGGTTCAACGAAGAGAAAGTTGGAAAAATGAAGACTAAATGCTTTTTAGTTTTTGTTGTGATTGTAACAGTTGCAGATAGAAACGGTTTATAAAAAGACTTTATTAAGAGGCAAATATTTAATAACGTAAATATGTGTAAATAGCATCACTATAAAAGGAAGCTATTGCTATGGAATTCATGTAAATATAAGGAATCTATTTTTAAATGCACATAATAGCCGCTGCCTAAAAAAATCCCTGGAATTGTAGATGGTGTTTTATGGAAAGTGTGTTCAGATATTTTATATTCTTCCTCCATGCGCTGACCTAAATTTTCAGCCTTTAAGTGTGTCAGTACAGATACATGAGTCATGACTGATAAGAGTCAGTATAGCCTATAGAGGAATCAACAACTCAAGGTTACCAGTCTTTAATTATGCTGAAATGAGGCTAATGATAAAATAATATTGCAAACAGAAACTGTGCCAGTTGTACTTTATAATTCTTTTGTTTAACGAGTTAGGCTATCTATAATATTGGTAATAATATAGATTACACATGGTTAAATGTGAATAATGTACAGCGTTTTCATAGTGTGTTACATTAAGCAAAATTTCGAAACTTTCAAACCAAGCAGCTTTACTTGTTCAGGAGAACCACTGAACAAGATGCGAAATCGTTCGTGTTCATGCGAGATTACCGATCGAATATTCGCCGAGCGAACAACAGTAAACGTGACCGCTCCTTTATACAGGGAGGGACACTTTATTATTTATTTATTTTATTACGTAGGCTATGTTCTATTATTATTTGAATTTGATTATGTATGCGTCACTATACTAAAGATCTATCAAAAATATACGAGTGTTTTATTTAAAACGTCGTTAATAGTTGACAAAAATATAGTTTAACAGAAAAACCTGAACTCTCGCTTTTCTCCACAAGTTTCTGAATACCACCGGTAGAGGACGCGTGCGCGTGCGCGCATGCAGGTGAGCCAGAGGTGCGCGCAGCGGCAGGTGTCGTGTGTCGTCATCAAACACAGTGCTTAGTTACTCTCTAAAGATTTACAGACAAACATCAGCTCTGAAACTAAACCCGCGCGCCGAGACTGGCTGTATCGCGTCAGATGCAGTGAAACGGCTCGACTTCATTCACACGGTTGCTACTTTAAACAAATGAACGCAAAGTGAAAAGATGGGCGGAAAAAAACGAGAGGAAGAAGAGCAAAACAACTCGGAGTATGGTAAGACAGTTTCTGAATGCGACAATTGTCACTATGGGTGTATTTCTGTGGACAGTTCGAGCATTTCTCTGGAGAATAATGCTATGATACAACAGACTGATCATTTCATGCGTGTTTGAGAGTTTCGATATTTGTCCTATAATCAAATATGATAGACAGTGCACGTGATGTGTTATATTTCATTTGTTCACTCGATCTGGCGTCTTCCTCATGTTGAAAAATGATAGTAAATCATATCAGGGAATTCAACAGTTGTGTGTTAAAGCCTGGAAATTAAGCAAATGAAAATATTAAGTTAATCACCAACAATAATAATAAACTAAAATCTTTAAAAGTCGTGTAAATTTCTATTGTGAATCCATAATATTTGTTTCTACTTTTCCTGAGCTCTAAAATATTCCTGAATATATAGCTATAGGCCTATATAAACAACTAAAAATAGAATTGTCCGAGACTTTTAAAGATTTTTTTTAATGTATTTATTTCTAGACTTAAAATCACAGTTGTTGAATATGTCGTGTTTTTGTGGAATATATGAAGAGTTCAGATGCAAAAGCTTCTAAATGCCATTTGAAATTTTATACTTTAATGATGATTTTTTTTATCAAACTTGTATATTTAAGTTCAGTAATTTCACTTAAATAACAATTAATAGGTAATTATCATTGCCATTTAAGTGAAATTACTGAACTTAAATATACAAGCTTGATAAAAATGATCATTCTACAAGAAAATTTCAAATGGCACTTAGAGGCTTTTGCATCTGAACTCTTCATATATATATATATATATATATATATATATATATATATATATATATATAACTGTAATAGAGACGTCCTCATTTAGTTAAGTAAAGTAAACGTGTGTATTCACAGGGACTCTTGCCAATTTGTTTTTTAAAAGTTGAGCTTGTGCAAAAGATGGTCCAGCCCTTCTGTTAAACACACTTCTGACGCCACAATATGCTTTTACTGTGATGTGAGCTGATTTGTGCTTCTTTATGATGCCATGGGAAAAAGCTCATATACATGCTTTATGATGCTATGAGAGATAAGGATGTCTTCATCATTCTTGAGTTCACATGTCTCTGTTTCAACACACAAATGACACAATGATCTTCTTCCTGTAAACATTTTAGCAACAGGAAAGATGTGAAGCATGTGTGTGTGTGTTATAGTGCACAACTCAGCATAGAAAGACCTGTTTGTGATCATGGGTATCGTTTGGTAATGCTTCAGTCGGAGAACGCTGGAGATAAGGCATTTCTCTGGAGCTTCAGTTACTGGGTAACAAGCCTGTTGGTCAACATTTAAACCAGGAAGAATCACATAATCATAAACACACACTCACATTGGCCTTGTGTTTCAGGAAAGAAAGGCGCTGACCTCATTTTAGCACTTAATTAGCCAGTTTTGGTGGATTGTGCACATAATTTGAAATAGTTTCCTGACAGATAAGCTGACTCACACACAGTTCGACACACACCTGAGGAGGACATAACAACACTTTTATTGTTTATAAAGCTATAATTTCTGTACACTCCCCCACACATTAACCCTTAACCTGTTCTGCGTGTTAAAATAAAATAATACCTCGACTTTCAAATGTCCACAAAGGGAAGTTTTGTGAGATTTAATTAAACTTCGATAGAGTGGCGTCATATTTTCTAAATGGACATCATTGATCTAACTGTGAACGATTCTTCCATGAATACGTCCATTTTTGATCAAAATATTATTACGATTTTCCTGTGAAACGACATACTTCACATTGCCAATCATTTAGTTCATTTAAGCCCCGCCCCTTTCTTAAAACCACTGCACTTACATTCAGACCCGCCTCCGCCCACATCTCACGATCCAATCAACAACCTCCGTATAGAACCAAGTCTCCGCCCCACATTCTATTCTTTCCTTTCCAATGATCAGATGTGTGTTGATCTCTGTCAAGTTAATTATATTATGTTAACGACTAACAGAACAGAACATTATTAATGAATCATTTTTGACGTTGATGTTTGTCAGGTTTCGTACACACATCCCAGGGAAATCATAGTTCACAGTTGTTTGCTATTTAAGTTCAGGTTTGTTGTTGTGCTCCACTCTGTATATGTGTGTGTGTGTGTGTTTTACTGTAAACCTCTGTAATGGTTCACACAATGAACACCACATTATAAAATCTACAGCACACCCTTTCTTTTACGCAATGCTATAAAAGTCTTTTACAGGGATACTGTTCTGCGTCCTGAAGGCAAATAACCGAGTGTGTGTGTGTGTTTAGTGTAACATGATCCTGGATTGTACATAAAGATGTTGAGAAACTGGTTGGTCTGACATGATGTGTGTTGTCATCAGATATCAGTGTGTGTGTCTTATGAGAGTTTGAGTTGAATAATACTTTTATTCATCAAGGACGCATTAAATTTATCAAAAGTGACATTTATAATGACTTTCACATAAATGCGGTTCTTTTGAACTTTCTATTCATCAAAGAATACAGAAAAATTAAATATCAGTTTCCACACAAATATGAAGCTGTTTTTGACACTGATAATAATCATAAATGTGTCTTGATCATCAGATCATCATATTAGAGTGATTTCTAAATGGTCATGTGACACTGAAGACTGGAGTAATGATGATAAATCCAGCTTTGATCACAGGAATAAATTACACTTAACTGTATATTCACATAGAAAACAGCTATTTCACATTGCAATAATATTTCAGATTTTTACTGTATTTGTGATTACGTAAACACAGATTTGGTGAGCAGAAGAGACTGTATTGGTGTTTCTCTGTTGTGGGTGAATGTGTGGTTCATGAATCATGTGGTCAGGAGCTTTGAGGAAATCTTTCTATATTGTTGTGGCTTCCTTCACTCATTTACAGCATCGCTTGTACTTTAAGTTTATGAAGAAAGTTAATTTTTTACACTGTACAGTGTTCTGGAGGAAATTACAAGAAACATTTAAGATCAAAGAGTAATGGCATTGCCAATTTATTTATATAGCACAATTAAATACGACCCACATCTTTACAATAACTAAACACACAAAAACTACCCATAATACAACACAGTACAGATAAAAATGTAAGTCAAATTCAGCGGAGGACGAGCAGCACAGAAATGCCGACTGGAGTTCGACTCCATCTTTGAATTGAAATGATATTGAAAATGAAGCAACACTGAGAGGAAGCCGGACACTTCTCTTTCATTACTGCTCTTCTTTTCATCTGTAGTTCCTGCTGTATGAAAACTAAATTAAGCATGTAAATATGACGGATCCATCGTGAGTCTAACACACTCGATCTGTCTTTCAGGAGCCCCGGTCCAGTACGACGCCACGTTCAGCGGCCCCATCCACAACAGGTCTCCGCTCATCTACAACACACACACACACACACACACACACTCTTGAAGAGCCTGTTTCTGAAGGCATAATCAGTTTTTACCTTGTGGCGTTTGTTTTCATGACGATGGAATTTCAATTCTGAATGGAATTATTCTGGAATGATTCTATATTTATTACAAGTTTAGGTTTTTTTACTTCTAGATTTTCTTGTAACAAATTAGCAAGTGGATAAATGCAGAAACATTTTGTTATTATTTACTTTTAATAATCATTTTTTTTTAAAATAAACTAGGCTACAAACAAATAGATTAATTACATTTGTATTTATTTTATATTTATTATACTTCATATTTATTATACTATATTTTACTTGTCTGTGTGTGTGTGTATATATTTATTAGAATAAATTGAGCAACAAACAAAATAGTTTAATTATTCTATATTACATTTTTATTTAATTTTTAAAAACTTTTAATAATTACTTTTTGTATAAATAGAATAACTACATTTTGTAGTCTATATTTATATATTTTATATAATTGCATTTTGTATTTATTATATATTTTCCATTTATATTTTTCATCATAAAATAAGGCAGCAATGAAATTATGTAAAACACTTTTTAATTTAACTAATTTGCGTACATTAATGATCATTTAATGTGTTATTGTCATGAAAATCACGCCAAACAATGCAATAAATAAATAAATAAATAAATACACATGATAATGTTCAGTCCGTCATGTGTTGTGTGTGTGTGCAGGAGCTGTACTGACATCATATGCTGTGTTCTGTTCATGCTGGTCGTCGTCGGGTACATGGTGGTGGGCATTCTGGGTAAGTTTCTGTGTCTGTGAGCGCTGATGTCATTTTTACCTTGACATGAAAGCAATATGGAAATCGTTGTCTGTATGTAAATGCTGGAGAGTGCAGGGGGTTATGGGTAACACACGAGATCATGTCTGCAGACTGAGAGCAGATATGAGCCACACGTTTGTTTAGCTCTCTATATAATGATTAGAATTGGTGGGGAACACAAACAAAAAAATTTTAAAAGCAAATGTAAAACATATTTTTTACTATCATTTTAAATTCAAATAAAATTCCAGATTTAGAATGTTTTAAATAGAATGCAGAATTGCGGTTTGAATTTGAATGTTTGGAAGTGACCTTTAGTTGACCTGTGTGTGTGGAAGAACACTTCTTTCCCAGAATGCACTCCTCCTGTTGATGTGGCCGCTTCAATTCAAATTCAGACTCATGAAAGGGAACAAGTTCTGCAGTTTTGAATTTTGCGCTAGATACAAATAAACATATTTTATTTATTTATTTATTTATTTTAAGTTTAAGTTTATTTTTAAAGATTTTATTTTATTTTTTATTTTATTTTCTATTTTCTGTTTTCTGTTTTATTCTATTTTCAGTTTTGTTTTGTATTTTTTATTTTATTTTATTTATTTAAAAAACACATTAAAAGACAAATAAAGAAAAATAAACTAAATATGAAGACGAAAGATCCCACTTTTTAGATTAAATTGTGATTTAATGCTTTGATATTCTGATAATCTGGACGTTCGTAATGTGTTTTGGTGTGTGTGTGTTTGATCTCAGACATTTCTAATGTAAATCTTCATTGTTTACTCTTGACATCTGTGTATTAGTGTGTGAGAGCTCGTTAAATCTCTCTCTGTGATGAGCTGAGATGAAACTACAGCTAATGAAGACCAAACCAAACACTAATTAGAGTCTAAGGACTTTTCCATCGAGCTAATTAAAGTTACGGTTGTTTTACCACGGCTCAGGGCTGTGTGACGGAGTTCAGTGCTGATAGATCAGATCATATTTCTGGATATTAATTGTAATCTAATGAATCGAAGTGAGTGAACAAACACACATGTATTGGCTCTTCTGGTGTTAACGTGTGTGTGTGTGTGTGCTGTGTGTGTGTGCTGTGAAATGGTCTGATTCCTGTAGCCTGGCTGTACGGAGACCCTCGTCACGTGCTTTATCCCAGAAACTCCACGGGAATGTTCTGCGGGATCGGACAGAACAAGTGAGTTTTGCCGCCGCTCGCTCTCGGATCTTCTGGGCTCGATGTGTGTGTGTGTGTGTGTTTCTGTGACTCACGTCTGTCTGTCTCTCAGGGATAAACCCAGCGTCTTGTATTTCGACATCCTCAAGTGCGCCACCGCGACCAACATCATGGCGGCGGCTCTGCAGGGTCTCCAGTGTCCCACCACACAGGTACCAGACACACCACCAGCGCCTCTTACTGGTTTATACTGGTTATCTGATGTCCAGACTTTTACATCTCAGACACTCATAATTTGGACATTTTGGTTTGAAAACAGACGAGTAATGTGTGTCTGTTTTACAAGATATTGATACTCTTTTGTTCAACATGTGAATAATAAGTGAATGTTCATACCTGTGTGTGACAGTAGTTGTGTGTTTTCTGCTGTAGGTGTGTGTGAAGTCGTGTCCGTCAGAGTTCTGGGCTCTGTCTCCTCTCGCCTACCTTCCGAACGCAAAACCAGCCGATTACTTCAGACAGGAGTTCTGCGTCCCTTCCTTCCAGCTGAAAAACACTAATTTAGTGAGTGTGTGTGAGTGTGTGTGTGTGTGTGTGTGTGTGTGTGTGTGTGTGTGAAAGAGAGAGAGATAGTGAGTGAGTGTGTGTTTGAGTGAGTGTTTGAGTGTGTGAGTGTGAGTGTGTGTGTGTGTGTGTGTGTGTGTGTGTGTGTGTGTGTGTGTGAGTGAGTGAGTGAGTGTGCGTGTGATTATTTGAGTGAGTGAGTGAATGAGTGTTTGAGTGTTTGAGTGAGTATTTGAGTGAGTGAGTGAATGAGTGTTTGAGTGTTTGAGTGAGTATTTGAGTGTATGTTTGAGTATTTGAGTGAGTGTTTGAGTGTGTGAGTGAGTATTTGAGTGAGTGAGTGAGTGTTTGAGTGTTTGAGTGAGTATTTGAGTGTTTGAGTGAGTATTTGAGTGTGTGAGTGAGTATTTGAGTGTGTGAGTAAGTGTTTGAGTGAGTATTTGAGTGTGTGAGTGAGTATTTGAGTGTGTGAGTATTTGAGTGAGTGTTTGAGTGAGTATTTGAGTGTGTGAGTGAGTGAGTATTTGAGTGTGTGAGTATTTGAGTGTGTGTTTGAGTGAGTATTTGAGTAAGTGTTTGAGTGAGTATTTGAGTGTGTGAGTGAGTATTTGAGTGTGTGAGTATTTGAGTGTGTGAGTGAGTGAGTATTTGAGTGTTTGAGTGAGTATTTGAGTGTGTGAGTAAGTGTTTGAGTGAGTATTTGAGTGTGTGAGTATTTGAGTGTGTGAGTGAGTGAGTATTTGAGTGAGTATTTGAGTGTGTGAGTAAGTGTTTGAGTGTGTGTTTGAGTGAGTATTTGAGTGTGTGAGTAAGTGTTTGAGTGTGTTTGAGTGAGTATTTGAGTGTGTGAGTGAGTATTTGAGTGTGTGAGTGAGTGAGTATTTGAGTGTTTGAGTGAGTATTTGAGTGTGTGAGTAAGTGTTTGAGTGTGTGTGAGTAAGTGTTTGAGTGTGTGAGTGAGTATTTGAGTGTGTGAGTGAGTGAGTATTTGAGTGTTTGAGTGAGTGAGTATTTGAGTGTTTGAGTGAGTATTTGAGTGTGTGAGTAAGTGTTTGAGTGTGTGAGTGAGTGAGTATTTGAGTGTTTGAGTGAGTATTTGAGTGTGTGAGTAAGTGTTTGAGTGTGTGAGTGAGTGAGTATTTGAGTGTGTGAGTGAGTATTTGAGTATTTGAGTGAGTGTTTGAGTGTGTGAGTGAGTATTTGAGTGTTTGAGTGAGTATTTGAGTGTGTGAGTAAGTGTTTGAGTGTGTGTGTGAGTGAGTATTTGAGTGTGTGAGTGAGTATTTGAGTATTTGAGTGAGTGTTTGAGTGTGTGAGTGAGTATTTGAGCGAGTGAGTGAGTATTTGAGTGAGTGTTTGTGTGATTGTATGAGTGTGTGTGAGTTCAATTCATGTATTTGTAATGCACTTTTCACCACACGCATCATCTCAAAGCAGCTTCACAGAAGTGCTCGAGTCCACATTATAATTTAGAGTGATCTCTTATTAACAGAGGAAACTGACTTATGAATTTTTTAGAAATGTCCATGTACAATCACAGTTAGCTAAAAATGCATTATTTAAAACAATGCAATAATTGAATGGAGATATAATAAGATCAATTAAATAATGCATGCTTGTTCGTTAACAAATGAGTATGACATTTAGAAAATATAGCAAATATGGTGAGGGTGTGTTTTGATGATCTATATCTTTAATAAAGACAAATCTGAACAATGTGGTTGTTTTCTTACAATTTCTATCTCTCTCTCTCTCTCTCTCTCTCTCTCTCTCTCTCAGTCAGCTATGGAGATCATAAATAAAGAGTTGTGTCCCTATTTCTTCACACCGACGTCCTCTGGTGAGTGACAGAAGATGAAGACCCTGAAAACCACATTATTTCTTCCTCTTGTTAATATCCTCACCATCTCTCTCTCTCTCTCTCTCTCTCTCTCTCTCTCTCTCTCTCTCTCTCTCTCTAGTGTTGGGACGGTGTTTGCCCAGTTTAGGAGGAGATGCGTTTAATCCCAGTAACATTCCTACAAACTTCAGTCTGAATGGAATGGATAAAAACCAGTCTGTGGCAGCACTCGTCAATGCGACCGGGTAAACACACACACACACACACACACACACACACACACACACACACACACACATCCTCAATTATACCAATACTAATACAAATATCATTAAATATTAGAATATATAAATGATACTAAAATTACACAATTTTTTAATCAAGAGTTTCCACACATTATTCGTGATGAATTTTCTGTGCGTCTCATTAAAAGTCTGCATGTGTGCAATGATCTCCGTGTGTGTGAAACTCTGAAAACTGCGTCAATCTGTCCAATATATGAAAGATTAATTACTATAGACTGGATCAGTTTATATACAGTGAACTATATAAACTACAGACTCACACTCTAATCCTGCTATAAAACCTGTTTCACTATCAAAGTGGAGGATTCGCTTCATTTACATGTTGTTTTTAAGTCAGGATGGATGTTTAGGTCAAATTAAGCTCATTTCTGTGGAGTTTAGATGAATATGTGTGTGTGTGTGTTTACTGACGCGTGTCTCTCTTGTCCAGTGCTGGAGGAGCATCAAAGTGAGTCACTGACAGATAGTGTCCGTGTGTAGTAGTAGACGCGTGTGTGTGTGTGTGTGTGTCGGACCAATCATATGTCTGTCTCTGTGTCGAATCAGTGTCTCTCTCTCTCTGCAGGGTGAAGGACGAGTAGCTGTAGTCGTTTAGAGCTTCTAATCTGTGTGTGTAGAAGTAGATGTTTGTCTCTGTCTGTGTGTGTGTGTGTGTGTGTGTGCTTCTCAGAGGTTCATTTGTGAGCTTCCACAAATGCTTTGTAAAGTCTTCTGAGCTTTACAAAGGTGAGAGCAACACTCACGCGGGATGTGTGTGTGTGTGTGTGACTCTGCTCAGCGCTTGTTCTGACATGATTCTGTGTTCACAGTGACATCACCAACGGCTTCAACATCAAAGACGTCGGGTTGCGGATCTTCGAGGACTTCGCCAAGTCGTGGCAGTGGATCGTAGCGTGAGTCCGATGTGTAGCGTCACACACTCCAAACACTCGCGACGTTCAGAGTCAGACAACACAATGAGCTCGAACAAATGCAGCGCTTTCATATTTTGTTATTTATGCACTGAAATGTGTACTTTTATATGTATTTGAATCATATTCAAAATATGACGTTTGAGTTATAACTCCTAGATGCATACTTTTATTTTTAATTTAATTATTATTATTAATAATAATATGATTAATTTTAATAATATTAATTATAATATTAATATTGTATATTGTAATTATATAGATATATAATTGTATTTCAATTTTATCTTTTCATTTTAAATTTTACATTATAGTAATTTTGTTGTGTATTTTTGTTATTTTTAAAACAAATTATTTTATTTTTAGTTATTTTAGTACATTTAAACAACATATTTTATTATTTATTTTATTTCAGTTCAAATTTATTTTATATTTAAAAAAACTGTTTATTTTTTAGACTTTAACCCTTATACTGTGTGTGTGTATGTGTATATATACATATATATATACAATATTATTATTATTATTATTAATAATTTATTTTTACAGTTTATATTGTGCAAGTGTCATGTATAAATTGTTATAGTTTTATAGAATTATACATTTTCATGCATGTAATTGCATGCAGAATTAATTCAGAACAAAACACTTTATTCATTCACTTGTCAACAAGAGTCACACTCTCATTCTTGTTGCAGTTTAAAGTATTTTGAGTGTTTGGTGTGTGTGTAGGCTTGAGTGTGATGTATGTCTCTGTGTGTGTGTGTGTGTGTGTCAGTGGTCTGGTGATTGCGATGGTGGTCAGTGTCCTGTTCCTCCTGCTGTTGCGCTTCACCGCACCCATCCTGATCTGGATCCTCATCGTCGGCGTTCTGGCGGTCGGAGCCTTCGGTAAATTATAATGATAATCTTGTTACATTTAAACTACTATGACATCATCAAGTGATAAATCTCATATCTGACATGTTCATCTGAGCCTTTGTCCAGATTTGCAGATATGAGAAATGCATATTTTCTGTCATGAAATCTCGCAATGCTGCTTCATCCACTGTGATGTTGAATCATGTCAAGGTTGCACATGATTTAATTAAAGATGATATTGTTAATGTCTAATATTAACGCATGCGCTAACGATCGTGTGATCCTCCGTCAGGCATCTGGTACTGTTATAATGAGTACATGTCTCTGGCCGGCTCCAGCACCACCTTCAGTAACGTGGGCTTCACCACCAATGTGCAGGTGTATCTGCAGGTGCGGGACACCTGGCTGGCCTTCTGTGAGTCTTTACACACTTCTACACACTTCTACACAAACGAGAGAAATCAAAGCAATGATGGTTTCAAAAATGTTTGTGAAATACTGAAACTTCATCTCTGTTTAATTTCTCTTTTCATTTTAATCTGCTTCTTTCACATGACAGCCCTTTAAATTGAATTTATACTACATTAAATTGGAATGAAATAGAATTAAGCCTAAATATAATTTAAATGCTGTAACTTCATCTCTCAGCTCAATTTTTCTTTTGATTTTAATGTGCTTGTTTCACAAGGTAACTTTTTTATTTTAATTTACATTACATACAATTTAAATTAATTTAGAATTTAATTGAAATAGAATTTAAATACTGGAAATTCATCTCTCAGCTCATTTTCTCTTTTCATTTTAATGTGGTTCTTTCACATGACAGCCTTTTAAATTTTATTTATACTACTTTAAATTCAAATGAAATAGAATTTAGCCTAAATATAATTTAAATAATGTAACATCTCTCAGCTCAATTTCTCTTTAAATTTTTATGTGCTTCTTTCACACGATAACTTTTTTAAGTTTAATTTATACTACATTAAATTGATATTAAATAGAATTGAGTCTAAATATTTTAATTTCTCTTTTAATTTTAATTTTGTTGATTTGCACGGTATTTAATTTTTTGTTTATTTATAATTTATTAAATTCAAATTAAATTGAATTCATTCTATATATAATTTAAAATATTGAACACCAATCTCTCAGGTCAATTTCTCTTTAATTTTAATGTGCTTTATTCGAATGACAAACTTTAAAAAAATTCTACTCAATGAAAATTGAATTAAAATTTAATTGAAATACTTGAGCTATACCTCTTCAGTTTCTGTTTAAATTCCAATTTGTACTTCGTTTTCATGACAACTTTATTTAATTTAATTTATATTATAGTAAATGACACATGACAAACTTTTCTATTTAAATAATATATAAAAACTTTTGTCTTTTTGTCAAACTTTTGTCTTTAAATAATATATATTAATATAAATAATTCTGATGGATAAATATGAACAAATATTTTTTTAGACACTGAGGTAATTGTATTGAATTTAATTCATTTGACTTTATTATAAATTAATATAAATAATTCTGATGGATAAATATGAACAAATAAAGTCAAATGGATTAAATTCAATACAGTGATGTTTTATTCATTTATCCATCAGAATTCATCAGTAGGTAATAATAATAATACCTTTCCCTGTATCTGTGTTAACTGACGAGTGTGTGTGTGTGTGTGTGTGTTGCAGTGATTATTCTGTGTATCGTGGAGGCGGTTCTCCTGCTGGCGCTGATCTTCCTCAGGACTCGTATCCTCATCGCCATCGCTCTGATCCAGGAGACCAGCAAGTAAACCAACACCTTATTATTAGAGACCATGCGCTGAATCCTGCCCGCATACACACATGATCGTGTGTGTGTGTGTTCACAAGCTTCCTGCCACATGTGTGTAAAGTCCCGAGCAGAAGCTGATCCCAGGACACACGGATATTAATAATATGATCATGATTGAATTGTTTGATGAATTACAGTTTTCTGTGTGTTTATGAGTTAAAGTTGAGTAGTGAGTAAACATGTGTGTGTGTGTGTGTGTGTATTTTCAGGGCGTTGGGTCACATGATGTCTACACTTTTCTATCCCATCATCACGTTTGTGCTGCTGTTGGTGTGTGTGTCGTACTGGGGAATCACAGCGCTGTATCCTTTAAGTGTGTGTGAGTGAGTGAGTGTGTGTGTGTGTTTTTTTTTTTGCGTGCAGATCAGTGTGTGTTTCTCATCTGTATATGAATGTTCAGCTGTGTATTCAGTGTGTAGTGTTGTGAATCTTTGACGAGTGTGTGTTCAGATATCTGGCCACGTCAGGCGGTCCGGTGTACAAAGTTGTGGCGCTGAACTCCTCGCTGGAAAACTGCAACAACATACGGGCCAACGAGACCTGCGACCCGGAGGTCAGACACACACACACACATTATATATATGTATATATACAATATATATATATGAAGAGTTCAGATGCAAAAGCCTCTAAGTGCCATTTGAAATTTTCTTCTTTAATGATGATTTTTATCAAACTTGTATATTTAAGTTCAGTAATTTCACTTAAATGACAATTAATAGGTAATTATCATTGCCATTTAAGTGAAATTTCTGAACTTAAATATACAAGCTTGATAAAAATCATCATTAAAGAAGAAAATTTCAAATGGCATTTAGAGGCTTTTGCATCTGAACTCTTCATATGTCCATCAGTCGGTATCCGGGCTGCACACACACACACAGGTATGAGGAGTCAGTGACGTGTGCTGATGCTGTGTTCCTCCTCAGACGTTCAACATCAGCCGGTATCCGGGCTGCGCGTCGGCTCGCTGTGTGTTCATCAACTACAACACCGAGGGCTTGTTCCAGAAGAACCTGTTCAACCTGCAGATCTACAACGTGGTGGCGTTCCTGTGGTGTGTGAACTTCGTGATCGCTCTGGGTCACTGCACGCTGGCCGGGGCCTTCGCCTCCTACTACTGGGCCTTCAGGAAGCCGGCGGATATCCCAACATTCCCCCTGAGCCAGTCCTTCATCCGGGCCCTGCGGTGAGCGCCACATACACACACACACACACACACACACACACACACACACCGTGTGAATCTGTTGTCTTATTAGTTATGATTTTGCTCAGGTATCATGTGGGCTCTCTGGCGTTCGGCGCACTGATCCTCACGCTGGTTCAGCTCGTCCGCATCATCCTGGAGTATCTGGACCACAAGTTCAAAGGTCAGACACTGCAAACCGTTGCATTCATGCAGGTTCTGTCTTCGGTCTAAAGAAATCATTGGTATTATATAGAGAGTTTTGTTCTATATAGAGAGTATTTTTTTATTTTAATTTAATCTATAGTGATTTTGTAATATGCTTTTATTATTTTTATCTTTTAAAAAAATATTATTATTCAGATTTCTTTTTTTATTGAATTTTAGTTTTCGTATTATTATTTATATAAAATACTTTTTGTTAATCTTTATTATATATTTTTTATTTCATAATTTACTCTAGTAATTGTGTTATGCGTTTATTATTTGTATAATTATTAGTATTTAATTTATTTATTTTATTTTAACTTTTATATTTGATTTATATATTATTATAGTTTTTATAAATATTTGAATAAATATTTTTTTTTATAATTTCAGTTTTATTTTTAATTTAATCTATAGTAATTTTGTTATATGCTTTTATTATTATTTTAAATAGTTTTAATATTAATTTTTTTAATTTAATTGGATTTAAAGTTTAGTTTAGTTTGATTTAAAGTTTTAATTTATTTCCAGAATGGTTTTTCAGTGCTTTATTTCAGTTAACAAAAATGTCTTCAATAGTTTTAGTTAAAAGTAATAACCCTCCTCTAGACTTGACAAAAATGGCTTCTCAAACACTGTAAGATGTAAAAATGTGTTTGTGTAGAATAGATTGACTTGTTGTTTATTGCTGTTGTAAACGTTAATATTTGTGTGTGTTCAGCGGCTCAGAACCCGTGCGCGCGGTTCCTCATGTGTTGTCTCAAATGCTGCTTCTGGTGTCTGGAGAAATTCATCAAGTTCATCAACAGGAACGCTTACATCATGGTACGTGAACTCACACACACACACACACAGACATACACCATCAGCTGGATGAAGACACGAGTAACTGTCGGTGTGTGTGATTACAGATCGCTGTGTACGGGAAGAACTTCTGTGTGTCGGCCAAGAACGCCTTCTCTCTGCTCATGAGGAACATCATACGGTGAGCGCGTGACAATCAATCATCACAAATCACATTCATATAGCAAAATATATCAATCAATTTCATTAAAATATAAATTCATTAAAAAGAAGGATGATTTTTTTACTGAGTAAATAAATAATAAATTAATACAATCAATCAATACAGTTTGATTCTTCTGATTGGCAGTGATTTTCTGACTGATTCTGTGTGTGTGGAATTCATATTGCAACTTATGAAAGTACATTTCACATAGGAAAAAAAAATCATGCTTTTATTATAAAATACCATAAAAAGACATAATTGGCAGACAAAAATAAGACGTAAAATGTCATAATTATGAATACATAAAGAAATAATAATTATGACAAATCAAATTGACTCAAGTTGAAATTATAACATATTTCAAGTACGACTCAAGTTGTGAATAAGTCATATTTGCGTGATGGAAAAATCTAAATAATGACTTATTATTGATAAAAAGATAATTATGATGTTAAAATTGACAAAAAGTAAAAAATGTAGGCTACAGTTAAAAATGACTTGGTTATAAGTATGATAAAAATGTGGAAAAAATTGACAGTCAAAATGATGACATACTAAATAAAAACTGACAAAAAGTCTTTTTATGTCTTAATTATAGTTGACCTATGTCATAATTTCAACTGCCGATTTAAAAAAAAAAGTCAATTGACAATTTAGACTTTTTATATAAATGTCAACATTTTATGACACCATGAAAAAAAATTATCAAAATTATGACAGTCATAAAAAGTTGAAACTGACATAAAAAGCAGAAATTGACAGACCAAGTTAAAACGATGAGTGTTTATTGCCGTATATGACATAATTATGAGATAAGTCAAAATTATTGCATGAAAAAACTAAATTGACAAGTTAAAATTACGACAAAAAGTATGAGTGAATTTCTGGATTTGATGTAATTTCTGTCTGAGTGTAACGACGATGCTCCTCAGGGTCGTGGTGCTGGATAAGGTCACGGATCTGCTGCTGTTCTTCGGGAAGCTGCTGGTGGTCGGTGGAGTGGGTGAGTGTGTGAGATGCGCGCGCGCACACACACACACACACGCACATACACACGAGTGTCAGCTGACCTCTGTTTCTTCTCAGGTGTGCTGGCCTTCTTCTTCTTCGCCGGCAGGATTCCCAATACAGGAACCACGTTTCAGACAGCAGCTCTCAACTACTACTGGATGCCCATCATGGTAACACACACACACACACACACAACTCAGTCCCGCTCACATCGCTTTATACACCCAAACCTGGTCTATTTGCTTACACTGTAAAAAGATTTAAGTTAGAAAATAAACCACTGATTTACTTTTTAATCAAATGTTGAGCATTCAATTTCTAAGTGACATTATGATGTCATCAAATTTGCATACTGAATTCTGATTGGTCTTGCATGTACTTAATATGGAATGAATATCTCACTAAACCTGACAACTATTTCAGCCAAAAGAAATAAGAAATATTATTTTGCTTATTTGGTCTTACGACATTGTGTGATGATTCGTCCTGTTCTCACTCTCTAGGAAATCAACAGTGAAGTTTATTTGATGTTGTGCATAATGTTGTTGATTTAAGTGAAATCTTTGCATTACAGTATTTTTTTACTTTATAAATAGTAAAACCTTTGCATGTAAAATAGCCTTACAAAATGTGTTTTTGCTAAAAATCTAAAAACATTTTCTGCATTTTTTTTTTCTTCCATTTTTTCATAAAAATAGTGGGTTATTGGACAAATAGTGGATTTGTGGTTTTTAAGCTTAGCTTTCCAAATTTTGGGATGAAAACTATTTTACTGCACTCAGGGAGGCGCCCTGAGTCTGTGGCACCAAGGGCCGTCCCGAAATTCCACCCTCCGCGAACCCATTATTTTTATAATGGGATAAATGCTACGTGAGATCTCAATATCTCAGCTCAGGAAGGGTCTAGAGACTCCATTTTTAGTCTCACAGCCCTCTATCAGAATCAAGAGTTTTGAGAAGATTGGAGAAACTAAATTTTTCGCCCGAAAAAAAACCCGAAAGGGGTACTGTCGTTTTTTTTTTCGGGTCGAAATTTTGAGTTTCGATATCTCAGCTCTGGAAGGGTCTAGAGCCTCCATTTTTGCACTCCCATCTAAGTCTCATGGCCCTCTATCAGAATCCAGAGTTTTGAGAAGATCGGAGAAACTTAAAGGGCATATTGCAGGTTAGAGGACCCAACGAGTCAATGCATAGAAAAACAATGTAGGAACTAGATTTTCTTTAAAATATACGTATAAACACGCTACAGAAGCTTCTGAAGTCGTTTTTGTGAGAAAATTTTACTTCCACGTCTGAAAATGGGCGTGGCGGGCGTGACGCAATGAGCGGGAGAGCCGTCGATTCACACAACAGGAAAACAATGGATCGCATGACATTTCGGACGCTGAGGAAATACTCGTATGACGGATCAAGCCATAAAGTTATGAGCCTGCTATGCTAAAGAGATCAGGGACAGGCCAGGATAATGTCAGACAGAACGGTCAGAGAAAAATTGAGCTGTGATGTGAGGAGAACCAGTGGAGAACAGGACAGGTGCCTTTTAGGTGAGAGACGTGCTTATAGTATACACGTTCGCTAACGATATACACTGTGCTCACAATATTGTACAGATTATTATGATCATATAACAGGCCAGCAGACATTAGTATGTTTAGGGTAGATTTATATACTATTAAATGTATAAAAACTTTACTTGAGTACATTTCTATACTAAAAGTATACTCAGGTAAATTTTTAATACATATTTTTCACCTGGGTTATAACATAAACAGAACATTAAAGATTTGAGTATTTAAACAACCAATTTTGTTTTTCAATTACAAGTTCCATTTAGGGCATTACATGACTTAAGTTACCTATATAACTCTATTTGATGCCATTGCTAGTATACGACGATCAATATTCTTGCTTCGGCTTACCATGTTGAACTCCATCATATCGCCGGGATGCTAATCATTTGATCTGAAGTGAACGCTACACACGGCCACGTTTTCCGAGCCGATGCAGAAGAGAAATCCCGTCTCTTCACCTGCTCAAACCGCACCAGGACGAAAGATAGGCTATAGCACCGTCACTTTATTGTAATGGAAACTTGTGGACTCGATCTGAAGTCTGCAGGCTGGAGTTTTTGCAATCTCACAACACAAATAATTTACCATGACGATGATAAATTAAAATGCAAAAACTAACGAAAGCACACACTGACTGACGAGCGCTTCACTGAACACCACTGCTCTCCACTGAGCGAGGCTGCGGCTCCCTGATAGACGTCAAACTGACGCGATGTTGAAAAAAAGCCGTTTTTACTAGCAATCCAAGAAACGCTCACTTTATCTTCTAAATTAGTGCCCTTATGTTGTTTTAAAACATTTGAAATCCTGCATTAACTTTTCATATGGTATTTTCATACAAGGTTATCTATAAATTTCGATATTTTTTTTTACCTGCAATATGCTCTTTAATTTTTCGCCCGAAAAAAAAACAACGAAAGGGGTACCACTGTCGTTTTTTTTTTCGGGCGAAAAATTAAGTTTCTCCGATCTTCTCAAAACTCTGGATTCTGATAGAGGGCCACGAGACTTTGACCTGAGTGCAAAAATGGAGGCTCTAGACCCTTCCAGAGCTGAGATATCAAAATTTCGACCCGAAAAAAAAACCGACAGTGTTACCCCTTACGTTTTTTTTCATTTTCGGGCGAAAAATTAAGTTTCTCCAATCTTCTCAAAACTCTGGATTATGATAGAGGGCTGTGAGACTTTGACCTGAGTGCAAAAATGGAGGCTCTAGACCCTTCCAGAGCTGAGATATCGAAATTCAAAATTTCGACCCGAAAAAAAAACGACAGTGTTACCCCTTACGTTTTTTTTCATTTTCGGGCGAAAAATTAAGTTTCTCCAATCTTCTCAAAACTCTGGATTATGATAGAGGGCTGTGAGACTTTGACCTGAGTGCAAAAATGGAGGCTCTAGACCCTTCCAGAGCTGAGATATCGAAATTCAAAATTTCGACCCGAAAAAAAAAACGACAGTGTTACCCCTTACGTTTTTTTTCATTTTCGGGCGAAAAATTAAGTTTCTCCAATCTTCTCAAAACTCTGGATTATGATAGAGGGCTGTGAGACTTTGACCTGAGTGCAAAAATGGAGGCTCTAGACCCTTCCAGAGCTGAGATATCGAAATTCAAAATTTCGACCCGAAAAAAAAAACGACAGTGTTACCCCTTACGTTTTTTTTCATTTTTGGGCGAAAAATTAAGTTTCTCCAATCTTCTCAAAACTCTGGATTATGATAGAGGGCTGTGAGACTTTGACCTGAGTGCAAAAATGGAGGCTCTAGACCCTTCCAGAGCTGAGATATCGAAATTCAAAATTTCGACCCGAAAAAAAAAACGACAGTGTTACCCCTTACGTTTTTTTTCATTTTCGGGCGAAAAATTAAGTTTCTCCAATCTTCTCAAAACTCTGGATTATGATAGAGGGCTGTGAGACTTTGACCTGAGTGCAAAAATGGAGGCTCTAGACCCTTCCAGAGCTGAGATATCGAAATTCAAAATTTCGACCCGAAAAAAAAACGACAGTGTTACCCCTTACGTTTTTTTTCATTTTTGGGCGAAAAATTAAGTTTCTCCAATCTTCTCAAAACTCTGGATTATGATAGAGGGCTGTGAGACTTTGACCTGAGTGCAAAAATGGAGGCTCTAGACCCTTCCAGAGCTGAGATATCAAAATTCAAAATTTCGACCCGAAAAAAAAAACGACAGTGTTACCCCTTACGTTTTTTTTCATTTTCGGGCGAAAAATTAAGTTTCTCCAATCTTCTCAAAACTCTGGATTATGATAGAGGGCTGTGAGACTTTGACCTGAGTGCAAAAATGGAGGCTCTAGACCCTTCCAGAGCTGAGATATCGAAATTCAAAATTTCGACCCGAAAAAAAAACGACAGTGTTACCCCTTACGTTTTTTTTCATTTTCGGGCGAAAAATTAAGTTTCTCCAATCTTCTCAAAACTCTGGATTATGATAGAGGGCTGTGAGACTTTGACCTGAGTGCAAAAATGGAGGCTCTAGACCCTTCCAGAGCTGAGATATCGAAATTCAAAATTTCGACCCGAAAAAAAAACGACAGTGTTACCCCTTACGTTTTTTTTCATTTTCGGGCGAAAAATTAAGTTTCTCCAATCTTCTCAAAACTCTGGATTATGATAGAGGGCTGTGAGACTTTGACCTGAGTGCAAAAATGGAGGCTCTAGACCCTTCCAGAGCTGAGATATCGAAATTCAAAATTTCGACCCGAAAAAAAAACGACAGTGTTACCCCTTACGTTTTTTTTCATTTTCGGGCGAAAAATTAAGTTTCTCCAATCTTCTCAAAACTCTGGATTATGATAGAGGGCTGTGAGACTTTGACCTGAGTGCAAAAATGGAGGCTCTAGACCCTTCCAGAGCTGAGATATCAAAATTCAAAATTTCGACCCGAAAAAAAAACGACAGTGTTACCCCTTACGTTTTTTTTCATTTTCGGGCGAAAAATTAAGTTTCTCCAATCTTCTCAAAACTCTGGATTATGATAGAGGGCTGTGAGACTTTGACCTGAGTGCAAAAATGGAGGCTCTAGACCCTTCCAGAGCTGAGATATCGAAATTCAAAATTTCGACCCGAAAAAAAAAACGACAGTGTTACCCCTTACGTTTTTTTTCATTTTCGGGCGAAAAATTAAGTTTCTCCAATCTTCTCAAAACTCTGGATTATGATAGAGGGCTGTGAGACTTTGACCTGAGTGCAAAAATGGAGGCTCTAGACCCTTCCAGAGCTGAGATATCGAAATTCAAAATTTCGACCCGAAAAAAAAAACGACAGTGTTACCCCTTACGTTTTTTTTCATTTTCGGGCGAAAAATTAAGTTTCTCCAATCTTCTCAAAACTCTGGATTATGATAGAGGGCTGTGAGACTTTGACCTGAGTGCAAAAATGGAGGCTCTAGACCCTTCCAGAGCTGAGATATCGAAATTCAAAATTTCGACCCGAAAAAAAAAACGACAGTGTTACCCCTTTCGTTTTTTTTCATTTTTGGGCGAAAAATTAAGTTTCTCCAATCTTCTCAAAACTCTGGATTATGATAGAGGGCTGTGAGACTTTGACCTGAGTGCAAAAATGGAGGCTCTAGACCCTTCCAGAGCTGAGATATCGAAATTCAAAATTTCGACCCGAAAAAAAAACGACAGTGTTACCCCTTACGTTTTTTTTCATTTTCGGGCGAAAAATTAAGTTTCTCCA